TGAAAATAATTAGGTCACTGATTAAGTAGCTGATTCATGAATCTTCAAATACAGGCAAAACTATCTTACCCACTTCTGAAGTTTTACAATTATAGTATGTATTTTCACAGCCAAGTCAATTTGTTTCTCCTATAGTCCACTTCTCCTGTAAGGTTGATTCCAAAGATTTTAGTATATCTCATAGGAAAATATTCAGGCAAAAAGTTTACATACTTTTTCATTTGCAATGCATGTGTTTTTGGTTTTTTCTGTTAACAGCTTCTCTTAATCATCCTTGAATCCCTATGATTCCTGTAGTTTCTGGTACATAACATGCACTCAAATATTTGTTGAATGAGTTATTTTTAAATTACCATGAGTTTGTTAGCATATTACAATTAATGAAGAAAAGCTCCAATGCAAAACATTTTAATAGGTTGTCAAATATACAGTTATTAGAATTATCTAAATATCACTTATAAAAATCAGTATATCACATTAGATGATTCTATAAAATAAAAACACAAATCACACATTGACAATAACCCCTGCAGTCCAAGAATACCCCCATCAATACTACAAATTACAAACACATTAAAAAAAAGACATTGTATAGACATTTAAAACCAAAGTAACTCTGACTACACTAAATACATTCATTCATCAAGTACAATAAATTTAGCATAGTCACTAATACAATTTTAGGTGCAATTTCACATGCTTTCATAAATCTTCCAGTACAACTCCCTATAGTAAAGTGTCTTTGTGCACGCCAATTTCATTTATATGCAGGTGCATTACACATCATACTTGAAACTATTTCACTTCATAATTAAACTTGTTAACATATATTATAAGTGAACCCCAGGCCAAAATTTAATCCAATGATGACAAAGTTTAACAATTAAAATATAAAATTTTTCAAAGTATACTCTATTTACTCACACGAATGCTATTTCCTCTTATTGACACTATCAACATAAGTAACAAGAATTAAAACATCAAGAAAACGGAGACTCCATCCCAAAATATTAGCAAGCACTTTTAGTAACAATATAGTCACTCCGTAAGTCAAAAATTTCATATTCATTGCCAAACTTAAAATACCAGTGGTTTGAAGATGAGACTGAGGCCTAAAGTATTTGTACTAAATTGTAAAACCCAATTTTAAAAATGTGCAGTAATTTGCTTGTGAATATGTAATGGAATGTTTTTCACAGTAATGTTCTGTTAAAACACTACTCTAAAATGGACAGCCTAAAAATAAACGTACCTTTACCAGCAAGAAAAGTGAAAAATTAAGGCCTTTTTATCCTATCTATAATTACTACCTGAACTCAAGAGTCAAATAGAGGTTATAATGCTGCAAAGTATTATTTTTAACCGAACATATTGTCAGTTGCTTCATCTCAGCTCAATAATCATTTCCTTATCTTTACACAAACTCAAATGCTAGTTAACTTTATTATTGTTAAATGCATATTTTTCTGTATCTCTCCTTTAATTCGGTCCCCAAACCCACCCCATCTAGATAGAATGCAGAAAATGGTTAGGGCTTTGTCTGAACTGTATATTCAGGGGCCAAAAATGCTGGGCACATGGTAGACATCCACTAAATATTTTTGAATGAATTAAGAAGCCTGGTCTATAGGCAACTCTACTTGCCTTCCCAAAGCATTGACAGACAATTGCTATCTCTTTACATGATCAAATTAACATGTCTTTTTAAAAGAAACTGCTGTCTAGGCTATAAAAATATTATAGGATGTAGTGGAATGATAACTGAGGCTATAAACATATCAAATCAAGGTTAAAGGCACTGGATAAGGAAGATTATTACAAAGCATTGTAAACAATTTTAAGAGCAAATCAAGTTTTAAAGTATCAAATGTCTAACTGCTAAGAGAGTATTAAAATGATGACAATGTTTTAAAAACAGTGGACAAAATTTCTGTAATTTCACAAATAAAATTGTTTCATACCATTTTCTTTCATCCTGTATTTTCTACAATATTCCAAATCCTAGAAACAAATGTTTTCAGTTTCATGAAATATGAAAATTACAACTGAAATATCTCTGAAAATTAATCCTTTTAAGTTATATTATCAATTTAATAGACATGATAGAGATAATATGAACATCGTCTTAGAAATCATAAAATAATAAATTACACTCAAAATCAGAAAAAAAGTTCTTATTCAGTTGAACCCAATCTAAAGCCCCACAATAGCAAATTGTAGTGTAAAGAGGCATACTAAGTATGAACTTTCTAGACACATGAAACAAAGAATAATGAATACTGAGTTGAAAATACCACTAGCTCCACGTTAGAGCCACTTAATATACACATTTTCACAACTGTTTCTTGAAAAACTATTTAGATAAAATATTTAGCATTTATCAATTTTTAATTTATTTGCATCTACACAACTTCCATCCATATTAAAATATCAATTAGTGTACTTTATTATAAAACTATTATACAATTTAAATTTTTATTAGAGAACTGTATTACTCACTATCCACAATTTCTTAAAGTCCTTTTCATGAGTGCATTCCATAAGAAATACACTAAAATCATTATTTATGTTTCCTAGGGGAAAAAAACCTATGATAATCCTATTAACCCAAACTATTATCCTTATTATGCTTATTTCTTAAAGATGTACATGTTTAAATATGCTTGGTGAATAGTGATCATTCTTCCCCGCAGTGGTAAATATCAGCATAATGTTAAATGACTGGGCTAGACAGTAAAATATTCACATGTAGATTATATAAACAGATACTTATTCTGTGACATGTAAGCTTACTTATAAAGTAACATAAAATGGGCATCGGATAACAGTGATAAAAATGTAAACAAACAGAATTAAATGTTAATCCTTTCCCTGAAAAACAAAAATAAAAGCGCTTGTTTTATTAAAACAAAACCAAAGATGATCTACTGTATCAAAAAGGTAAGACTGATTTTTACAAAACTGTATTTCCAAATATGGATAAAGAAAATCTAGAAAGCTGATTCACACTTTATTGAGCTAAAATGTGCAAAAAGTCCAGTAATACTTAAATTTATTAAATTCATTGTGCATAGGCTGATACCATCCTATACAAAAAAGCCTCTCGTTAAAAGACTCAAAATTGTTAATTATCTGAGCTTAAAGACTTATTGAACTACTGTCCAAATAACAACAACAACAACAAAAGTCTATATTGTAGGAGAAAAAAAGTAAAATTAAAAAATGTTTGACTATTAGGACTTGAAATCCATCCCCACAAAAAAAGCTACAGCCAATACCCATTTAGGCAGTAGAGAAAAATATGAAGTCTCTGTGAAAAATACTTATACTGACTCTAAATAAAATTAACAAATTTTGCTATAACAAAATGTATGTTAATTTTTTTAAAAGATTTTATTGATTTATTTGACAGATAGAGTTATAGCAAGAGCAGGAACACAAGCAGGGGGAGGAGGAGAGGAAGAAGCAGGCTTCTCGCTGAGCAGGGAGCCCAATGCGGGGCTCAATCCCAGGACCCCAGGATTGTGACCTGAGCTGAAGGCAGACACATAATGACCGAGCCACCCAGGCACCCCAAAATGTATATGAATTTTAAAGTAATTCAGGTTTAATAATTTGCTAAGCATAGAATTCATAGAGCATTTGGTACTTCTGTCTGTGCTCAGATATTTGCAAAGTACACTTAGAGAGGTTGGGAAGGTGAATAAACATAAAATTGTGATACTTTCCTCCTCACCAAAAAAAACTGCTTAGATTTAAAACTTTAATTTGTAATTCTAGGGGGGAAAGAGGGGGGAAAAGTCCAACAGGCCACAAATCTAAAACATTTTCCAGGAATATGACAAAACTGTTAACTACTTAGATGTGTTATTAGTAAATCAAAGTGCAAGTAATGCTTTCATAAATATCTAACATATTTGTAAATTTAATTTCAAAGTTTTAAATGTTTTCAATAACTAGTTATTTTTTTTAAAAAGGTGGTAAATATGAAACACATAATACTTAAAAATCTAATTTTTCCAGGAAAAATAGCATTCCCCCACCTATCACAAAATTAAATCATAATTTCTCTCTGGAATAGGATATAAAACTGTTTTGAGTAACAGTGAAATAGAAGCATGGATTTAGATATGCGCCAAACTCATAGAGATGCACTAATTTACATGTAGTATTTTTGATAACACAATACTGGATGGTGTCCTTCACTACTTATTAGAATTCTGAGAAACACTTTTTAGCAACATATATTTATACTACTGCTGAACTAAATGGGGACATATAAATACATGAATTTTAAATGAGAAAATTCTCAAAAGCTATTTAAAGGAGAAATAAGACAAAGCTTCAATCATCTACCTTTTGAAGTTGCAGTTAAGAGGAAAAGGTATTATAGCACTTTATAGCACTTTTCACAATGTAGTAAATATATATTCCAATTTCACATCAATGAAAGATTTTAAAAGAAAACCATTTTGTTCCTTGCAAATAACTTCTCTCTTCTAACCCTGGCAAGAATAATTAGTGACCTTAATTTCAAGATTTTTGTTGTTGTTGTTGTTCAATTATCTTTCTTATGAAGTATAATATATTGAAATATGCATATTAATGGAAATTAAAGAGAAAATCTGCTTTTGGAATGCAATAATTCTAAATCGCTTTACTAAGAAGCACCTTTTGATATGCTGGTCTGAACTTTTAATATAAAACCTGAACAGTACTTAACTGTTCTGAAGTAGAATTTTCTCCAGTTTTAGTAACTTCATACACACATAGTAATACTAAGGACATCAACCTGTGCTTTCTAGATTTTTAAAAGTGTTCTAATAATGTAATGAGTTTAGATATGGCTCATTGTCAAGGTTGGGTGGACAGAGATTTCATGACAAATTGGCTACAGAAAGCTAAATTAACTCTTAATGGCTGAATAATGGTTTGCAGTTTGCTTCAGCCAAACAGATGTTTAAGCCATGTACCACCACATTCCCTGCTTAAGATTCCTCTTTCTTTATTCTTCATAGTTTTCTAATGAACAAATAATTAGTTTTCCTGAGTAAGATTATAAAAAGATAACCCTTCTACCAAAAGTATAAAGACAAAATGTAGACTCACAATATAAATTTTTTTACATAGCTTTACAAGTACAGAGATACTGACTGCTGTTCTTGATTGCTCCTTCCCTTAAGAAGACTGCAGCAAAGGATTCAATTGTCTAAAATACTTTGTAGTACGGTAATTAAATGCCTCAGCCCATAAACATATCCCTCATCTATTGTGTTGCTAGGGAACACATGAGCAAAATCTATCATTCGCACTTCTGCTTCTGAAATCTCTTGGCAACCAGTGGGAAGATGATAAAAAACTTTTTCCAGTTGGGAGAGTACATTTCCATTTAAATGTTCCTGTGACATGCTTTTCCACCCATTGTCTTGCTCTATATTTTCAACTTTCAATGAAGTCTGACTGTGATGCTTTTTTGAACACATTTTTCTGTGACGAGCATACATCTTGGACAAGCTTTTGCCTACTGAAGCATCTATTTTTCCATTCTCTGTGGAATTTAACACATGAAAGTTATTATTGTACTCCAGTACATCTGTGTCTGACAGCTGCCCTTTGGACAAAAACTTTTCTACCAAAGTTCTGTCATTCGATTTTGTAGGAGTTGGCCGAGATGAACCTTCATAAACAAACAGTAATGAACTTGCATAAAAGTTAAGTTGCTTCTGATTTTCAAACCACTGCAGAATATTCTCAATCTTCTGAATACTGGCAGCAACAGCATCTTTTCTTAAGCAGAATCCATTATGAAAAAACCTGGAGACTCCTATAAACAAGAAAATATTAGGATTATAATGAAATTATGAACTAGCTATCATGTGGGAAATAAACTCATCTTAGATACAATTCATCAATTTCTTCCCTTTACCCCTTGCAATTAGCTGAACAGGCAAAATTCTAGTCAAGACATAGAAACCTGGGCTGCAACTTAATTTCTAGTGAAGATTCTTTTACTAGAAAATGACACTTATGTAAAGTGAAATATACTATTTAGATTAAAAAAATTATTACACAAAGACTGGTAGTTTAGTTCTCTCTCTATTCTCTTTAGGAATGTGATTCCAAGATTTGCTTCATTTGCCAGTGTGAGGGATTTATTTTTTACTAAGATTACTTGTTAGAAAATCACATTCAAGAGCTAAATCTAAAACCTACAGTCAAATCACAACTACGTGTAATGGCATCAACAGCCCATTACCAAAATACCAAATCATAACTATAATAAATTCTTCCTGTTCTTAATAATATTGATTAAATCAGTCTTTACAAAAGTTAAGCTCACTTTGGGGATCAATACCACCCCAGGTTGAATATGTTATTCAAAATTGAGACTTTTACATGTTTTAACCGATCAGATTATTAAGCCTCTTTTAAAGTTATTTATGCCTATTTTATCCTATTTGAGAATTTATGGCCATATATAATTTCATTTCTGCTCTTAAATAGTTTGCTCTCCCACTCTGGGACAGAAATTGCTAGAGACGTATATTCACATTAGCCTGCAAAATATTTTAATAAAGAGCCAATCTGAATATTACCTGCTATTGGTTAAGTAAACCAAGGCAAATATTGTTAAGATCACACTGTGTATATTTGTTTTCTATATATAAAATTAAAATTTTTTGGGGCGCCTGGGTGGCTCAGTTGTTAAGTGTCTGCCTTCGGCTCAGGTCATGATCCCAGGGTCCTGGGATCGAGCCGCACATGGGGCTCCCTGCCAAGCGGGAAGCCTGCTTGTGTTCCTGCTCTTGCTCTCTCTGTCAAATAAATAAAATCTTTAAAAAAAATTAAAATTTTTCTTCAAACTATTACACTACATATAAGCTCTTTCCCATCTTAGGCAAAGCTAAGAATAAACTTCTTTTTTTTTTTTTTTTTAAAGATTTTATTTATTTATTTGACAGAGAGAGACACAGCGAGAGAGGGAACACAAGCAGGGGGAGTGGGAGAGGGTGAAGCAGGCTTCCCGTGGAGCAGGGAGCCCGATGTGGGGCTCCGACGCTGGGATCATGACCTGAGCCGAAGGCAGACGCCCAACGACTGAGCCACCCAGGCACCCCGCTAAGAATAAACTTCTTAATAGAATATTATTTCCAGAAATCTATTAAGGTCTCATTGCTTTTGTAATAGCTTGGCTATAACTATTTTAGAGGTATGTATGTTAACTGACTTTAAACTACTTCTAATGCCATTTATTTATTATGTAATTCTAGAAGCTTATAATATACAACTAAACTAGACATGGGAGATTTCGATAAAAATACATTACATACAACAATACATACTTTAAAGTCTCTTATGTAAAAAGCAGTTTTAATACACTATGATTTACATCCTAGGATTTGAAAGACCACCTCTAGTTTCAGGACTTGAACTATATGGCTGGTTCACAGATGTTCATTATTTTTTTTATGTATAATAATAAATAAGAAATGTGCTAAAATGTAAAAGAAGGCATTCACGGATCCCTGGTTTTGGTGTATTATAAACCAGGGATTATGAATAATTCAACTGTGTAAATTTAAGGATTTATGTTTATTTATTATGGATTGAGTCATTATACTATCATTATACCAAAGAATTAAGATTGAAATTACTTTAGAATTGTTTTGATAACTGTGCAGTAATAAAAGTATTGAAATAGGTTTTTCAATCCTTACCATCCTTTAGAGTTTCTTTTGTTAAGCTTCTTCCATAGTGCTGGTTTTGTGTCTCATAGCTGTCAGAATGAACATGGTAAACCTGCGAGAAAAAGCACTGAATATTAAAAACTAATCGTCCTTGACCATGTGGGGTTTACCCAGCAATGCAAGGATAGTTAAAGATGGGAAGATCTACTCATATTTCATTCTAATAGATTTAAGAAGAAAAAAATCATATCATATCAATGGATGCTGAAAAGGCATTTAAAAAATTTACATCCTCTATTGATGAAAACTCTTTAAAAAGACTGATGAATATTTCCAATATGAAAGAATTAGCGACATCAATCCACCAAAAGTTATTAAGTTTAAAAAGGAAATAAGGAAACATCTGTCCTAAAATACAAGAAGCTTTCAGAAAAAGTATTCTACCACAATGTTTTTTTATCATCCATCTAATATTGTTCTGGAATTTCTAGCAAATATAAATAGACAAGAGAAAGGGTATAATAACTTGGAATGAAGGAGATAAAAATATTACTCTTTCTAGATAATGGTTGTGTATTGGAAAATCAACTGAAAAATACAAACAATAAGAACTTGAAATGGTGACCGAGTACAAATTGGTACACAGAAATAAGCTTTCATATTTACAAATAATCAGAATATGTAATGCAAGACCCCATTTACAAGTGCAACAACAAAAAAATAAAAGAGAAATAAACTAAATAAGTGTAAGTCTATATAAAGATATCTTTAAAACATTCCTAAGAACACCCATTGTTCTCAGAGAGGAAACTCAACATCATAAAAGATATCAATTCTACTTAAATTAATCAACAACTAAAATGAGATTATAATAAAACAAATTTTTTTAATCATACAAGCTAATTCTGAAGTTCATATTAAGAAAAACAAGAACAGGCAGGAAAAATCCAAGTAAGAATAATGAGGGAACAGCCTTGCCATCCTACTAGATATTAAAACATATTTTATTTATATTTTCCAACTTTATTGAGGCACATATGAGAAATACAATTATATATAGTATACAACATGATTATTTGCTATACATACATACTGTATAATGATTACTAAGATCAAGATAATTAACACATGCATTACCTCACAGTTGACTCATTTTTTGTGCATGTGTGGTGAGAAGGCTTAAGAGCTACTCTCAGCCAATTTCAAGTATACAGTACTGTATTATTAACTATAGTCACCATGCTGTACATCAGGTCCTCAGAACTTACTCATCCTGTAACTGAAAGTTTGTACCCTTTGACCTACATCTCCCCATTTCCCCCTCCCCAAGCTCCTAGGAGCCACCATTCTGTTTCCATGAAATTGGTTTTTTTTTTTTTTGGTTCACATATAAGTGGTACCACACATTTGTCTTTCTTTGTCTGGTTTATTGCACTTAGCGAAATACCCTCCAGGTTCATCCATACTGTTGCACAGCAGAATTTCCTTCTTTCTTGTGGTTGAGTAATATTCCATTGTGTGTGTGTGTAGACACAAACCACATCTTTATTCATCTGTAGGTGATACTTAGATTGTTTCCATATCTTGGCTATCATTAATAATGCTGCAATAAACATAGGGGTGCAGATATCTCTAAGATATTGATTTCATTAAAACGTATCTTTAGACTCAAATACATGAGAAGTTTGTATGTGATAACAGTATTTTAAATCAGTAGAAAAAGAGATAATTATTAAATAGTGATAGTGTCTTTAGGTAGTGATCTGGAAAAAAGTAAGTTGTATTTATACCTTATACCAGGATAAATTCCAAATACATCATATATCAAAATGCACAAAATGAAATGATAAAAGTGTTCCCACAAAGATGGAAGAATCCTTGAATAACTGATACTAAGGAAGGCATTTCCAACCAAAACTCAGAAATTTCCTTCATATACAATATGTTTTTAAAAATGTTCATAGTGGGCACCTGGGCGGCTCAGTCATTGGGCGTCTGCCTTCAGCTCAGGCCATCATCCTAGGGTCCTCGGGATCTAGCCCTGCGTTGGGCTCCCTGCTCAGAGGGAAGCCTGCTTCTCCCTCTCCCACTCCCCCTGCTTGTGTTCCCTCTGTCGCTGTGTCTCTGTCAGATAAATAAAATCTTTAAAAAAAAAAAATGTTCATAGTGTTTTTGCCAAGCAGAAATCAAAAGACAAATAGACACAGAGAAAAGGTATTCAAAATTTATATAATGAACAAAGGGCATGATTACTCTTACTGGAAAATGAATAAAGGACCTAACAGTTCACATAAATCAAACAGCTCTCAAACATACCAGGAGCATGGCCCTCCCCCAAATAGTGAAAAATCAGTGTCCCGGACTTTGCCAAATGTCTCCCTGGAACAAAACTGCCCCTGGTTCAAAACCACTGCTCTGTATCAGTCAGACTGCCAATATCTACCAAAATTATAAATGCATATAAGCCCAGCAATTCCCCTCTAGGAACTTGTCCCATAAATACACTTGCATACTGGTGAAACGAGGTAGGTCTCGTTTACTCATTTTTAACATTATTTGTAATACAAAAGACTGGAAACAATCAAAGGGAGCTGGTGAAATTGTGGTATAATAACTGTGTGCCACTGTGGAGAGATCTTTATGATACGTTAAATGGAAAAAAAAAAAGCAAGATACAAAACCGTCTTCAAAGGAGGTTTTATGATAAAATAACACATATATGCAGTATTTGTATATGTTAAAAATATCTCTGGAAGAATACACTGGGGAAAAAATATAACATCCTGTGTGGAAGGTGAATTCTCACTGTGTATGTTTCTATACTTTCTGGAGTTTGAAGCATACAACAATGTACCTTCTCAAATTTTAATAAATATATATATTTTAAAGATTTATTATTCTTGAGAGAGAGAGAGAGCACACGGATGAGTGGGTGGAGGGGCACAGGGAGAGAATCTCAAGCAGACTCCCCGGTGAGTGCAGAGCCCCACTTGGGGCTCATTCTCATGACCCATGAGATTATGACCTGAGCCAAAACCAGAGTCACACGCTTAACCGGCTGAGCCATCCAGGCACCCCTTAAATAAGTATTTTTAAGAAGCATTAAGAATATATTGATTTAGGAATTGATATTTTAAACCTTTCAGTCTGTTATAGCTAATTACCATCTATTTCAAATGCTATACTTAACTGAAAAAGTTCAGTTACAACTATGTTCTTAAACATACACATACATATTGCCTATTGAAGAAATACATTTTATCACTGGGCAAAGTGTTACTATGAATGGAAGAAGGCACTTTATAAACATCAAAAATTACATCTGGCTACAGGAAAATTATTTTTGTAAGAACAGTTAAGTATATCCAAAATGTGTTTTAAAAAAACCACTCATGTTCTCTATACACATAAATAGGTTTAAAAGAGGATTCTTGAAAAATATAAACAAATTAATTAAAGAGAATTTCCAATATGATAGAGGTGTTAGCTAACCTAATGCTAAGGTGGTAACCATACTGTAATATATAAATGTATCAAATCAACATGTTGTACACCTTAAAATTACACAATATTATATGTCAATTATATTGCAATAAAAAAGGATGAAATTGAGAAAATTAATAATCTGAATAAATTAATACAAAAATATGAGAAGAATTTTCAAATACACAGTTATGTGAACACTAGAAAATGTACAAAAAAACCCATCATTTTCAAAATAAAACCTATTCTACTAATTCAGGGGTGTATTTATCTGAGCTAAATTATATTTCACATATGAGAATCTAAATTTCACATACAGACTAAAGTTAAATAGTTTTAGTGGAACTCCTTTATTGATATTCTCTCTTCCTCTATTTCTACTTTACAGTTAACACTGGAATGGGAAGAGATAGGAGAATTTCTCCATCCCTACCGCCTGCCCAGTCTTGGTCAGCAGCAAAGATATTTGTAAATCAAAAGTTACACACGAACCTTGAAAACATCTAAATATGTAGCAAAAAAAAAAAAAAAAAGAATTTTTTTAATGGAAAGGAAAGCTGGGAGACATGAGTAGGGCAGAATAACGAGCAAAAACTGGGGAGCCTGGCTGGCTCTGTCAGTGGAGCCTACTTAAAAACAAAAACAAAAAACAAAACAACAACAAAAAAACAAGCAAAAGGAAGTTCTAGCACTTCCTGGATTATATTTCACCACAGGAGTTGCTCATTTTATATGAACTTACGTCTGAGGCAAACAAATACAAATATCTTTAGCAAAACACCTTTCCTATTAAGTCAATTCAAATTTGAAAGGTTACTATCATCCATTACTATGAAGAAAAAAAGATATACAGAGTCTGATCTTTAGACGATGTGATCAATAAATACCAAAACAGAAGAATCTTTTCCCCAAGTAACTAGGAACCAGTGATTAAGAAAAGGTACTTCTCTCCAAAAAGTATGTCAATACTTTAAGCTGTTGCCAAAAATATACTGGAACATCTGAAAATTAAATCATTTAAAGTCTTGAATTATATGTTTTATTTATTTTTTTTATTTTATTTATTTATCTGACAGAGAAAGACACAGTGAGAGAGGGAACACAAGCAGAGGGGGTGGGGGAGGGAGAAGCAGGCTTCCCGCTGAGCAGGGAGCCTGAGGCGGGGCTTGATCCCAGGACACCAGGATCATGACCTGAGCCTAAGGCAGACACGTAACGACTGAGCCACCCAGGAGCCCTGAATTATGTTTTAAAGAAATTTTAGGTAAATTTCTACAAACTACATTTTAATTACTTTTAGCTAATAAATATAATAAATTCCTGTAATTACATAGCTCTTGCTTTCAGAATACAAAACTGGAAAATTAAACAAAAATGTATACAATAGTCAATCCATAAGGACACTATTTCAAAAACCAGTAAGTCCTAAAGCAGGCTGCTGATATACTAACTTCTCTTAAGTCTGATACTTTAATATACACCCCACCTACCTATATACAGTATGTTTCAGTCACCTTACATAAACTCCTGTTTCACAATATGCTCTACTTCTCAATTTTCTACCTGTTACTTTCCCTTGTTGCCAGTTCAAAAGACAGGTATCACCTGCTTTTCAAGTTTGTGTGACGC